CCGCCCGCGCCCCCCCCCACCCCCCAGGGCCAAAGGGAGACACCAGCTGTGGGCGGAGCAGGGGTGGGGCAGGGACAATGACAGGGGGTGTGTGCACCCACAATAATCTAGTCTCACCCCCCCCACAAGAGGGAAGAGAATCCCTGGGCTCCAGCACCAGGGAGGGAGCCTGGGGGTGTCCTCCTGCAAACCCCACATCAGGAGCCCCCAGGGACGGACTCACCCCAGCTGGTGAACTCCCACTTCATCTCCACGTAGAAATCAGGAGCCTAGAAAAGACACCAAAGGGATGAGATCAGGCATTCCCGGCAGAGAACGTGTCGGGGGGGTCCCTGCAGAGACGGGTCTGGGAGATGGGGGGGGGGAGGAGGGGAGAGGGAGATCTGGACTTGGAGGGGGAGAGGAGATCCTTGCCCAGATGGGATCCTGGAAGAAGAGAGGGAAACCCTGAAGAGATCCTGGGGCAAATCTCAATCTAGGAAACCCCTTGGGCTGGCTGAGACCCTGAGTATGCACTTGGAAATGGCAGAGATGCTTAATGATTTCTTTGTTCCGGTCTTCACCAAGAAGTCTGCTGAAGGAATGGCCAACATAGTGAATGCTAGTGGGAAGGGGGTAGGCTAAGAAGATAAAATAAAAAAAGAACAAGATAAAAATCACTTAGAAATAATAGATGTCTGCAAGTCACCAATGCCTGATGGAATGCATCCTAGAATACTTAAGGAGCTGAGAGAGGAGGTATCTGAGCCTTTAGCTATCATCTTTGGAAAATCATGGAATACAGGATAGATTCCAGAAGATTGGAAAAGGGGAAATATAGTGCCCATCTATAAAAAGGGAAATAAAAACAACCCAGGAAACTACAGACCAGTCAGTTTAACTTATGTGCCTGGAAAGATAATGGAGAAAGTCATAAAGGAAATCATCGGCAAACACTTGGAAGATAATAAGGTGATAGGAAACAGCCAGCATGGATTTGTAAAGAAAGCAGAATGCAGGTGGTTAAGTCATTGAGAGAGTGTCCTTTCTGGTTAAAATGGCAAGAAACTGTTTTTTCTTTGTGATCTTGTCTGATATCTGTTGTGTGGGCATTAATCCTTTGGCAAAGTGTCTGAGATGTTTGTCCAATGTACATAACTGGCTGGATAACTGTTCCCAGAGAGTAGTTATTAATAGTTCACAATCCTGCTGGAAAGGAGTAACAGGTGGGGTTCCGCAGGGGTCTGTTTTGGGACCGGTTCTGTTTAATATCTTCATCAGCGATTTAGACATTGGCATGCAGAGTACGCTTATTACGTTTGCAGATGACACCAAGCTGGGAGGGATTGCGACTGCTCTGGAGGATAGGGTCATAATTCAAAATGATCTGGACAAATTGCAGAAATGGTCTGAAGTAAACAGGATGAAGTTTAATAAAGACAAATGTAAACTGCTCCTCTTAGGAAGGAACAATCAGTTTCACACATACAGAATGGGAAGCGACTGTCTAGGAAGGAGTACAGCAGAAAGGGATCTAGGGGTCATAGTGGACCACAAGCTAAATATATGTCAACAGTGTGACGCTGTTGCAAAAAAGCCAACATGATTCTAGGGCACATTAACAGGAGTGTTGTGAGCAAGACACAAGAAGTCATTCTTCCACTCCACTCTGCACTGATTAGGCCTCAGCTGGAGTATTGTGTCCAGTTCCGGGCGCTGCATTTGAAGAAAGATGTGGAGAAATTGGAGAGGGTCCAGAGAAGAGCAACAAGAATGATTAAAGGTCTAGAGAACATGACCTATGAAGGAAGACTGAGAGAACTGGGCTTGTTTAGTTTGGAAAAGAGAAGATTGAGAGAAGACATGATAGTGGTTTTCAGGTATCTAAAAGGGTGTCACAAGGAGGAGGGAGAAAACTTGTTCTTCCTGGCCTCTGAGAATAGAAGCAGCAGCAATGGGCTTAAACTGCAGCAAGGGAGGTTTAGGTTGGACGTTAGGAAAAAGTTCCTGTCAGGGTGGTTAAACTCTGGAATAAATTGCTTCGGGGGGTTGTGGAATCTCCATCTCTGGAGATATTTAAGAGCAAGTTATATCAATGTCTATCAGGGATGGTCTAGGTGGTACTGGGTCCTGCCATGAAGGCAGGGGACTGGACTTGACCTCTCAAGGTCCCTTCCAGTCCTAGTATTCTATGTTTCTATGTCAGAGACCTGGGGGATCCCAGATGGATCCCCAGAGTGGCAATAGGAGGATCTATTGTATCATAGATGGCCTGGGCTGAGCTCTCAGGGAACATGGGGGAGGGGAGGGGAGCTGGCAGGACAGGGGTATCAAAGGCCTGTGCATTAGGCTGGGGTGACTGGGGTCCCAAGCGGGAGTCTGTAACCCATGGTAGGCGTGCCAGGGGGTTGGGGTACCAGGGGAGGTCTGTATGCCAGGGCAGGGTGCTGAGGTCCCGGGGGTCTGTACTAGGGATGTAATAGTGTAGTTGATGAACCGGTAAGCAAAAGCTTATAGGTTAATGCTACAGATTACACACACTCCTCCCCACCCCTCGCCCACCAGTACATTTTTTAGCAGGCTGGCCAGCAGCCCATCTCATTCCCAGTCCAGGACCTACCCCCGCTGCAGCGCTACATTTTAAGTGTATTAGGCACCAGGCGGGCAGGCAGCCCAGAGGGTGCAGGGGGAGCTGGTTTTTAAACTAGCTCCCCTCGTGGATCAGCTCTTGCCTGGCACCCTGTACTGCTACCTCTGTATCAGAGGCAACAGCGCAGAGTGGCAGGGGGGCTTCTCGGGAGGGGGGCCGGAGCGCACTGGCTGCCAGCCACGTCCCCGGGGACGATAGAATAGTCGAGCAACTGATAAGAATTCATGATGTTAATCGACTATTCGATTAGCCGATATTTAACATCCCTAGTGTGTGCCCCAGGGCAGGATGCTGGGTCCCAAGGGAGGTCTGCACGCCAGGGCGGGGTGCCAAGGGCCACACGCACACACTCACCCTGCGCAGTTTGTTGAGCAGCTCAGGGATGCCAGCCAGGCGGTTGGTAGCACGTTGGTAGTCGCGGTACTGGAGCACCAGCTGCACCATCTCGGGGTCTCCGGTGCTGACGGCCTCCTGCAGGACTGGTGGGCAGAGCGGGAGCAGCAGGGAGCTGTCAGGGGCCTTCCCTGCCCGCCGGCCCTCAAGCCACACAGCCAGTGCCAACCCCCGCTGCCAGAGTTGGGCAGAGCCCGGCACTCAAGAGCACCCCTCAGGGCACTCTGCTGGCAAAGCCCAATTTGACTGCCTGGCCCATAGACACCAGCCCCCGGCACAGGGAGGCTGAGACCTCCAGCAACCGGTGGGGAAGAAATGCTGCGCCGCAGGGCAGGAGTGGCACAGTAGAGC